AAGGGACTCAGTGCGGCTTACATGAGGCCGAGCCCACAATACAACAATAGCAACAGTAATACAACAATAAATGGAACTCATAAACGGAAAATAGCAATAAACATTAACAATAACACAACAACGTTTAAAAAACCTATGCCAGGGCCAAATGTACTAATTAAAATTTTAAAAAATAATGCTGGGCGTGACCGGTGACATATAAACAGGATACAAATTTGGAGAGGGGTAGAGCGTGCAGACAATCCTAGATCACTACTAAAGTGCGTTTAGGGATATATTGCTGGGAGTTTCCTTATTCTGGGAAGGCACACTGGAACAACCACGTTTTCAGGCTCCTCCTAAAGACTGCCAACGTTGGAGCATGTCTGATGTCCCTGGGGAGTGAGTCCCAGAGTCGAGGGGCCACCACCGAGAAGGCCCTGTCCCTTGTCCCCTCCAATCGCACTTGCAATATTTGTTTTTTATATTACATTTTAAATGTTGAATTGTTTTTATAATTGTTTTAACTGTATTTTGATATTTGTTTTAACTGTATTTTGATATTTGTTATGGCATCGAATCACTACCGACTGTGAACTGCCTTGAGTCGCCTCTGACTGAGAAATCAGTATACAAATGAGGTAAATAAAACAATAAATAAATAAATATGAATGTGGCTGATCCCCATCTCCACTATTTTAAAAACCTATACACAGATCAATCAGCAAAATTAGCATTAATTACCAGCCTCACACTTGGGAAGATGGGAAGGGTTCAAGTTTACAGGTTGTTATTATTATTATTGTTTAAAACTTTTATATCCCAATCTTCTCAACCTCCGTAGAGGGACTCAGACCGGCTTACAGCAAGGATTCAATACTAATAGTACAATCTAAAAACATCATATAATAACGAGTTAAAATACATATAGATCAAAATTACAAATAAGTCAAATCGCCAAGATAAAATCATGTCCAACTCAGTCCGTATGTGTGGTCGATAACTTTGTTCTGTAACCGGTTTCAACCATTACTCTGGGAATGCTTCCTTCCATAGCCAGGGTTTCACCAGCCTCCTGAAGGACAGGAGGGAGGTGGCAGATCTGATCTCAATCGGGAGAAAGTTCCATAGCCAAGGGGCCACCACAGAAAAGGCCCTGTCTCTCATTCCCGCCATTGGTTAGTCCCAATGACAATAGATTCCTTAAAGCAAAGGGTGGGCCATCAAGGCTTTATATTTGTGGCCCTGAACCCACACCATACCAATTTTTCTGAGCTAAAAAAAAGAACCCCAGGAAGCTTCCTCTCCCAAAGCCTCCAGAAACAGCAGAAACCCTCTTCAATTACTAGCAGCTCCTTCTGCACTATTTAACACAAAAAACGTACTTTCCAAAACCAGAAGCAAATCTCTGTCTACTTCCATCCAGCCTGTTGCCAGACCAAGTCCACTCATCCAACACTTCCTTAAAACAGCCAGATGTGTCAACATATAAGCAAATCTCACCACTGCATTGGTAAGTCTCCTCCAGAACAAACAATGTGACTCTCAATGAGGCCACCTCAGCAATCCCTTATCCTCAAACTTCTCTGCTTGAAGGAGGGCCTCATCTTTCCCCTCCCTTCTTCTTCTAGGACCTCCCATTGCCCACCCCATGTTCAACATTGAGAGGCCAGAGAGTTCCAAGCAAATTGTGCCAGTAATTTCATTGGGAAATGAGTCCAGGCTTTGGCGCAACAATTTGAGAAATGCAGACGAGCTGGAATGTGTAAATGGTGAAAGGTCTGAAAACCAGGTGGTGGAGGGAGTGCAGTATATTCAGCCTGAAAAAAAAGAGGGCTGAGAGAAGGAGCCATTTGAAAGGAGGCCACATTAAAGAGAAAGGAAGCATAATGGAATCAAACTCTAGGAGAAGAGATTCCACTAAACATTAGGAAGAACTTCCTGATGATTGGATGTGTTTGATTGTGGAATATTCTGCAGGTGAAGGTTTTGGAACAGATGCTGGATGACCATCTGTTGTGAGAGCTTGGATTGGATCTTCCTGACTGGAAGATGAGGGCTGGACTGGACGGCCTTAAGGGGGTCCCTTGCAACTCTAGGTGCTTGGAGTCTTGTTTGATAATAGTATTAATAATAACGGCAAAAACAATAATAAAGAGCCGTTCCGCAGTGGAACTCTCTGCCCCGAAGTGTGGTGGAGGCTCCTTCTCTGGAAGCTTTTAAGCAGAGGCTTGGTGGCCATCTGTCGGGGGTGCTTTGAATGCGATTTTTCTGCTACTTGATTCTATAAAATATATTACCCACCTCTCCTTGTGGCTAGAAGCAAGGGGACAACAGGGTTAAAATAGAGATAAAATATAAAATATAATATAGGGCTCATTGTTCGATGTTTGCTTTTATACTTTTGTTATAATACTTATTTTGTTTTATGTTGTCATTACATATTTAATGTGTTATATTTTAATTATGCTGTTCAGACCCGTCCCCATGTAAGCCGCCCCGAGTCCCTTCGGGGAGATGGAGGCGGGGCACAAAAATAAAGTTATTATTATTATATTATTATTATTAATATACACACACACATAAGATATACACAGAGTACTCCAGAAACTTCTTTTTTGTGGCTGCTACAAATTAGGTTGAATTGATTGAGACTTGTTGCCTGCTGCCCTGGAAAGTAGGACTAAGAGCAATGGTTTCAAATTACAGGAAAGGGGATTCCACCTATACGTTAGGAGGAACTTCCTGACTGTAAGAAGAGTTGTTCAGCAGTGGAACTCTCTGCCTCGGAGTGTGGTGGAAGTGCCTTCATTGGAGGCTTTTGAACATCTGTCAGGGGTACTTTGTGCTTTCTCTTGCATGGCAGGGGATTGGATGGGATTGAAAAACTATAGCTAAATGTGCTGCAGGATGTCCCACCAAAACAAAGCTTTTGCAGTTTAAAAAACTTTCTCTGTGTTTTTATGACAGAACCAATTAGGAAATGACATTTATAACACAGGAACAAAAGCTGTGATACATAGCGTAATAAAATGATGTTATAATGTATACACTTTGGAAATAATAATATAAAAACAAAATTATAATATATAATAAATGTCACATATAATAATACAATGTATAATAATAAAATATAATGAGGTGTAAAATTGCTTGTGCTAATACGTGGCTTAATATATAATAAAATAAAAACATAACAATAAATATAAAATATAATGCTATCCGCATAACCACATAAATACACATATACACAAATATATACACACACATACACCACATATACAGACTGAGCTGCAGCAACACGTGGTGGGGACAGCTAGTATAGTAATATGTATTGTAATAAAAATAACTATTAAGTATTTAATATAATAAAATACATAGTAATATACATGTGATATTAAATCAAGTATAATATATGCTATAAGAATATAAAATAAATATATAATATATATAATATATCATAATAATAAAATATAAATATGTACAAAATATAAATAATACAATATATACAATATAAAAATAAATATGTATCATAACATAACATATAATATATGATATAGTAATATGTATTAATATGACCATTAAAATTAAATATTTAATATAATAATCATATAATGTATAATATATCATAATAATAGAATATAAATATACAATACAAAAATAAATATTAAATATATATCATAACATAACATATAATCCCCGAGGAGATTAGATCGGCGAATTTCCTTTTTTTCTTTAAGGAAAAAAATTGAAGACCTGGATGTGGGACCGGGCATTTGGACATTCTGGCAGCTAAAGAAAGACCTTGATGATGAGCAGGAACTGACGAAATGGAATGGATTTACGGAACTCTGAGCACTGAGCATAGGATTAGTTTAATATTGTGTTAGTGTATTGTTACGTACTGATGATTTTAATTTGTTAACTGTTTAAGTGCTGTATGTATATATATTTGATATAGGCATCGAATTGTGCCTTCCTTTGTAAGCCGCCCTGAGTCCTCCCTCGGGGGTGAGAAGGGCGGGGTAAAAGTAACTGAAATAAATAAATAAATAATAGTAATATGTATCAATATAAACATTAATATTATTTAATACAATAATATATATATATATAATCATATATATGTGATATTAAATAAAAGATAATATATACTATAAGGGAATTAAAAATGGTTCCCTAAACGGTTCCGGCCCAAGATACCTAGCTGACCGCATCTCGGCCTACGAGCCCATGAGGACTTCGAGATCTTTCGGGGAGGCCCTGCTCTCGATCCCGCCTGCGTCACAGGCACGGCTGGCGGGGACGAGAGATAGGGCCTTCTCGGTGGTGGCTCCTCGGCTGTGGAGCGCCCTTCCCGTGGACATCAGACTGGCTCCTTCCCTGATTATATTCTGCAGGAAATTAAAGACTTGGTTGTTCAAGAAGGCGTTCGAACAAGAAGTGCGATTGGTAATGACGACAGGAATGGAATAACGGAAAATGATACTGGATTGTGGTTTAAACGATGAGACAACGCGAATGGCTTTTTGTATTATTGATATTGATATTGTTGATGTTATTGATGACGATGCTTTTGTTATTGCCGGATTGATTTTAGATTGTGTCTTGTAATTTGCACCCTGTCCTCTCTATGTTGTACACCGTTGTGAGTCGCCCCTGGGCTGAGAACAGCGGTATATAAGCAAAGTAAATAAATAAATAAATAAAATTATTTAATACAATAATATATATATATATATATATAATCATATATATGTGATATTAAATAAAAGATTATACATACTATAAGGGAATTAAAAATATATAATATATATCATAGATCATAATAATAAATATATATAATAATATATTATACAGTATAAGAATAAATATTAATTATGTATCATAACATAACAACTAATCGTAATACATAGGCCATCTGTCGGGAGTGTTTAGATGGGTCTTTCTTGGGGGGTCTGTTTGGATAGCCTTTGGGGGCCCCTTCCCTTCCCTTCCCTCCCTGTGGGCCCGGCCTTTACCCGCTCGTGGGCCTGGAGGCGCCGGAGAAGGCAGGGCCCTCGCCCGGCTCTCCTCCTGCGGCGGCCTCTCCTTCTCCTCCTCCTCTCCTCCGCGGGCCAAGAGTCTCCTTCCGAAGGCGCGCCTCAGAAGCTGCAGCAACGACGACAACGAGCGGCGCCTCCTTCCCTTCTCCTCCTCCTCACGCGAGAAGCGGTTGCGGGCTGCGTCAGGAGCACGCACGGCGACGCACGGGCCGTGATACGTCACTGCGGCCTCCCATTGGCCCGTCGCAGTCTCCACCTCCCCGTGGAAAAGAGCGCCATTGGCCGGACCGCAAGTTGAGACAGAATCCTCACCTTTTATTGGACGCGCTGCCGACCAATCGGATTCCGTTTTCCTTACATCGCAAACGGGGATTGGAGAGGAAGGAGAGGAAGAAGTGGCTTCCTGGAAGTGGGCGGGGCTAATATCTCCCTCGACTGATTGGGTTGGCCCTCGGGTATCCATGGCAACCTGCTTCCAGGAAAAAAGGCGCCTGGGAGGGGAGACTAGGCCGCGATTTCCCCTCAAGGCCCCGGTTGGGCCTAGCCAGGCGGGACGGACGAGGAAGGGGCTCGCGGTCGGCGGCAGCGGTGAGTGGCAAAGCGGGGAGGCCATTCGGTCATTGGTTAAGTGTGAATTTTTCCATTGGCCACCTTCATTAGCATTGAATGGCCTTGCAGATTCAAAGCCTGGCTGCTTCCTGCCTGTTTATTAGCATTGAATGGCCTTGCAGCTTCAAAGCCTGGCTGCTTCCTGCCTGTTTATTAGTATTGAATGGCCTTCCAGCTTCAAAGCCTGGCTGCTTCCTGCCTGTTTATATATCTGTGGAAGGTCCAGGTTGGGAGAAAGGACTCTTGTCTGCTGGAGGCAAGTGTGAATGTTGCCATTGGCCACCTTCATTAGCATTGAATGGCCTTGCAGMTTCAAAGCCTGGCTGCTTCCTGCCTRTTTAATAGTATTGAATGGCCTTGCAGCTTCAAAGCCTGGCTGCTTCCTGCCTGTTTATATATCTCTGGAAGGTCCAGGGTGGGAGAAAGAACTCTTGTCTGCTGGAGGCAAGTGTGAATGTTTCCATTGGCCACTTTCATTAGCATTGAATGGCCTTGCAGCTTCAAAGCCTGGCTGCTTCCTGCCTGTTTATTAGCATTGAATGGCCTTGCAGCTTCAAAGCCTGGCTACTTCCTGCCTGTTTATATATCTCTGGAAGGTCCAGGGTGGGAGAAAGAACTCTTGTCTGCTGGAGACAAGTGTGAATGTTTCCATTGGCCACTTTCATTAGTATTGAATGGCCTTGCAGCTTCAAAGCCTGGCTGCTTCCTGCCTGTTTATATATTTGTGGAAGGTCCAGGGTGGGAGAAAGAACTCCTGTCTGCTGGAGGCAAATGTGAATGTTTCCATTGGCCACTTTCATTTGCATTGAATGGCCTTGCAGCTTCAAAGCCTGGCTGCTTCCTGCCTGTTTATACATCTGTGGAAGGTCCAGGGTGGGAGAAAGAACTCCTGTCTGCTGGAGGCAAATGTGAATGTTTCCATTGGCCACTTTCATTTGCATTGAATGGCCTTGCAGCTTCAAAGCCTGGCTGCTTCCTGCCTGTTTCTATATCTGTATGGGGGTTTGAGTCTCGCTCTGGAAGAAAAGCGGGATAGAAATTATTAATAATAAACAAACATTCATAAAACAGCACTGGCAAGGGTTGTTAAACAAGCTGATTTCTTTTTGTAGCCTAGAACTGAAGCATTTCCAGCAGAGTTCACTGTAAACATGACATGTTGTTGCTAACAGATTCATGTAAACAGGTGGTATTCAGAAGCCTTTTACTGTTGCCTTGCCTCTTTTTTCATGACCTGAACATTGCACTAAGGCAGAGCTTGCTGTATAGAATCATAGAATTTATTCTATAGAATCACCCGCCATGCTCTGCTCCTTCCCATGGAGCACAGCATGGTGGGTGAGCCAGACTCCTCAGGTCTGCCACACTTTGAGCATTATTAGATTGAGTCTTTTATAGGAATATTCTGCTGATGTAGTCCCAGAGTTGTAAATTACTGACAGACGTCTTCCATCCTGGCTCCATCTCAGTTTCCTGGCCAGATGTTGATCTTCTTGATTGGTGTTGATAAAAGTAAGGCTTGTGTTGACTTCCTTCTTAACATAAGGAATGTTGCAAACATTTCCTTAACTTGAAAGAACCATTGTCACAGTCCTTATCAGAGTTTACTTTTCAGTTCTTATTAGCAACTTTTAATTACAGTGCAGCAAGCAGATTTAGTCATTACAGAACTTTTACACAAAGAATCACATTGGACATACAGGCATATAGATTCTATGCAATTACATTGGATTCACAGTTACATGGCTAACAAACAAACAAAAGGGGAGTTACATTTTCAATCACCATTCACACACGTTCATCCTCATGCACCCAGATATTACCATATCCTTTTCTCCCTCCTTGAGAAGTACATGTTAGGCCAGACCCTGCTTTCCTGCAGCCTGCCAATGCATATTTCCAAAACTTCCATAATGCCAAAACTTCATAACACCAAAATGCATACTTTCCCTAAGTACAATACCAAGGACCAGATCTCTGTTTTCCATACAGCAGAACCTGACTCCAAAAGCGCAAGCGCACTTCTTCCTCTTCCCTTGAGAAAGAAGCCCCAAAGTGTCCAGAATCATGCTTTCCCATAGCATATCTGACACTCTCCAAATACACCATCTCTCCCCTTCCCACAGACCACAGAGGTTGGTAAATCAGACTCCTCAGGTCTGCCACACTTTGAGCATTATTAGATTGAGCATTATAGGAATATTCTGCCGATGTAGTCCCAAAGTTGCAAATTAATGTCCGCCTTCTTCCATCCTGGCTCCATCTCAGTTTCCTAGCCAGATGTTGATCTTCTTGATTGGTGTTGACAAACACAAGGCTTGTGTTGACTTCCTTTTTAACATGTTGTAAACATTTCTCTTAACCTGAAATAATCATTGTCACAGTCCTTATCACAGTTTACTTTTCAGTTCTCATTAGCAGGTTTTAATCATAGTCCAGCAAGTAGTTATGTTATGAACCCAAAGAGGTTCCTGTTCTTTTGTGCAGAGTGTTCAAGGAATAGAATCATAGAATCATAGAATAATCATTGTCACAGTCCTTATCATAGTTTACTTTTCAGTTCTCATTAGCAGGTTTTAATCACAGTCTAACAAGTAGTTATGTTATGAACCCAAAGAGGTTCCTGTTCTTTTGTTCAGTGTTCAAGGAATAGTAATGCAGTTTAGACCAATGAGACACTTCAGAGACCAAATTTGGTTTTGACCCTATTCATGTAACATTTATTGAAATACAATCATCACAGAATCATATCAGAATCACATCAAGGGAGAGCTCTCGTGCACACACACATTCATGCATACTCACACACAGGTAAAGATGATCAGTCTTTTCCAAGGAGGTGCGGACGCTCCGTTGCCATGGATCAGGAAGCGTGCATGTTCTTGGGGGTCCCCTGCATTTATAGGCCAAAATCCATTTTTCCTATTTTTAATAATCATTTTGTTCCATCCCTTTTAAGTCCTGTACTTTTCAAGTTCAGGACATCCACGTGACTTATGGGGTACACCTGCACACTCCTTACATGCTCGGCCACACACCTTATTGTTCATTGTCATTCAGCTATGCCTTGCTGCTTCCTCACTTCGACTGCCAAGTCCAACCCATAATATCATGCTTTGCACGAACTCCATGTTGTATTTTCTTCAGGCCTGTTCTTCTTCTACATGCATTCAAACATTCATTCCTTACAGTTAGTCATTGCAGGCCTTAATATTGCAAACATTTCCTTAACTTGAAAGAACCATTGTCACCGTAATTATCAGAGTTTACTTTTCAGTTCTCATTGGTAAAGGTAGTCCCCTGACATTAAGTCCAGTCACGTCTGACTCTGGGGTGTGGTGCTCATCTCCATTTCTAAGCCGAAGAGCCAGCGTTGTCCGTAGACACCTCCAAGGTCATGTGGCTGGCATGACTGCATGGAGCGCCATTACCTTCCCTCCGGAGCGGTACCTATTGATCTACTCGCATTTGCATGTTTTCGAACTGCTAGGTTGGCAGAAGCTAGGGCTGACAGCGGAAGCTCACGCCGCTCCCCGGAATCGAACCTGCGACCTTTCGATCAACAAGCTCAGCAGCTCAGTGCTTTAACCCACTGTGCCACCGGGGGCACCCAGTTCTCATTAGCAACTTTTAATTACAGTCCAGCAAGCAGATTTAGTCATTGCAGGCCTTAATATTATACTGGTGCTCCCAAAATTATTAACTCCATCCATCCATCCTTCCTTCCATTCATTCCCACACATATATTAAATCCACATTGATCAAATCTGCAATGATATTTTCGTGACAACTTCAGCCCTCCCTCCAGTTAGTTGTTTTGGACTTCAGCTCCCACAATTCCTAACAGCTGTCAAACAATGTAGGATTTCTGGGAGCTGACATCCAAAACATCTGGAGGAGCAGTTTGAGAAACCCAGATTAAGGGAACAGGGGTTGAGGCTGCAGAGGGAAAATAATTGGCAGGCCTGGGAACCCATTGCTGCTGCTGCCTGTTCACTTTGGAAAGGGGGGGACTACATTGGGGTTACTCAAGCCCCAGTCTATTTGTTTGTTCGAATTTCTATTTATATCCTGCTTTTCCCTGAGTATGTGTCCCAGGTCTGCTCACATTAGATTAACACAAAAGACAGCTGATGCAGGCACGATTGGTGGGGACGAGGGAGAGGGCCTTCTCTATGGTGGCCCCCCGACTCTGAAACTCACTTCCCAAGGATGTCAGGCAAGCCCCCACATTGCAATCTTTAGGAGGAGCCTGAAAACATGGCTGTTCCAGTGTGCCTTCCCTGAATAAAGGAAACAATGCCCTGCAAGATATCCTGAGAAGCACTTTAATTACCCGTTGGGTTGCTCTCTACTCTTCGTTTAAAACCCTCCTACTAGATACATCCTACCTCTGTTCATTCCCAGCATTTATTTTTAAAATTTTAACTATTATATCTGGCCTGGACATAGGTTTTTAAATCTCTGCGTGTAATAATAATAATAATAATGCTTTATTTATACCCTGCCACCATTCCCCAAGGGACTCGGAGCGGCTTACGTGAAGCCAAGCCCAACAACACATCAATAAACAAAAGCACTAAACATAAACAATAAATACAATACAATTAATATAAATCACATATAAACAATAACCAATAAACAGTAACACATAAGGATTTAGAAACCTATGGCCGGGCCAAATGTAATAGTTTAAAAATAAAAAAATAAATGCTGGGCATGTCTATATGTGAGTTATATTAATTGTATTGGCTGATCTGGCCGGGGTGGTCCATGCCTTGGTCACCTCTAGATTGGACTACTGTAATGCGCTCTACGTGGGGCTGCCCTTGAAAACGGCTCGGAAATTCCAACTGGTCCAACGGGCGGCAGCCAAGTTGTTAACTCTTGCTCCTTACAGAGAGAGGTCAACCCTCCTGTTCAAGGAGCTCCATTGGCTGCCATTCATTTTCCGGTCCCAATTCAAGGTGCAGGTGCTCACCTACAAAGCCCTAAACGGTTTGGGACCTGCCTACCTGCGTGACCGCATCTCCGTATATGAACCCACACGATCCCTCCGTTCATCTGGAGAGGCCCTGCTTACGATTCCACTTGCTTTGCAAGCGCGTTTGGTGGGGACGAGGGACAGGGCCTTCTCTGTGGTGCCCCCCCCCAACTCTGGAACTCTCTCCCCAAGGACATCAGAAAAGCCCCAATGTTGGCAGTTTTTAGGAAGAGCTTGAAGACCTGGCTGTTCCAGTGTGCCTTTCCAGAATAGGAAACTCCCAGCATCATGTCCCAAATGCACTTTACCAGAGATTTAAGATTGCCTGCACATCGCACCTACCCTAAAATCCTTACATTTCACCTGTCATGTCCAGCACTTTTTAATTTATTCATTACATTTGGCCCGGCCCTAGTTTTAAATGTGTCATGATGTATTGTTTTGATGTTTTACTGTTATTGCTTTAATGTTTATTGGTTTGCTTTTTGAGTTTTGTTGTTGTATTTGTTATGCTGTTGTTTTATTGAGGGCCTTGGCCTTTGTAAGCCGCACCGAGTCCTTCGGGAGATGTTAGCGGGGTACAAATAAAGTTAATAATAATAGTAATTATAATAATAATATTGTTTTATTTGTATTGTCGAAGGCTTTCATGGCCGGAATCACTCAGTTCTTGTGGGTTTTTTCGGGCTATATGGCCATGTTCTAGAGGCATTTCTCCTGACGTTTCGCCTGCATCTATGGCAGGCATCCTCAGAGGTAGTGAGGTCTGCTGGAGCTGGGATAAAGGGGTTTATATATCTGTGGAATGACCAGGGTGAGACAAAGGGCTTTTGTAAGTTGGGAGAAATTGTGGGATGGTATCTGTGTCTCTGCAGCGTAGAAGGAAAGTCAGGGAGCACAGTAGATGTGCTTTCCTGGTCCGTAGTTTCTCCAATTTCCGTGTGTCTTGGAACAGTTTCTCCCCGTAGAGATGTTCAATGTATTGTCGAAGGCTTTCATGGCCGGAATCACTCAGTTCTTGTGGGTTGTGGGTTTCTTGCAGGCGAAACGTCAGGAGAAATGCCTCTAAAACATGGCCATATAGCCCGAAAAAACCCACAAGAACTGATTGTTTTATTTGCTTATTGCTTTGTTGTTTTCATTGATGTGTTGTTGGGCTTGGCCTCATGTAAGCTGCTCCTTGGGGAGATGGTGGTGGGGTATAAATAAAGTTTTATTATTTATTATTATTATAAAAAAAAAGAAATAGCATCCATGAAATAAGCAATCTTATTAAAAACCCGAATTTGAAACAGTTTGTGGACATAGCAGCATCCCTTCCTTGCCTGGTGTTCTGCTTGTTGCCATGGGTCCCTGCCTTTGAATGGCCAGAAACCCACATCTGACCCTATTCTGAAAGGCAGCAGTTTCCAGATAGATCTGTCTCTGAAGCCAACACAATGGAAAGGGCTTGGGCACGCTATGAGCAACCTCTCCACAAGAGGTTTCTGCAACGCCATCACATTTGTGCACCCCAGGGTCTTTGGGACACCCCCTCGGCCCAGGAGGGGGGTCGATTCAAAGCCAGAGGTTGTCCACCCTTCACCTGGAACTCATACACAATGGACTTCACCAGGGAGAAGAATCCCAAGAACACTTTGCGTGCAACTTGAGGAAGCGAACTCCAGACTGCAGAGGCTTATGCTGAAGGAAAGCCCATTAACCTTTCCCCAGGGATCATTAGGCTGTCTGCTTTCCAGGGCCAAACGGTCAGCCCAGGGTCACTTCCTTCTCCCTGAGACGCAGAAGAGTGTGGTCAGTGTCCAGCGAGCAGGACAGCCTCCCCGGGGGGGGGGGGGCGGGGTGGTCAAGCTCTTTATGTGCAGTTATTTACAGCCAATAATCTCATCAGTGGACCTCGGTCCTTTAAGAAAGGAACTGTCTTAACTGGACTGGCAGATTGAAAGGTACCATTGGCTTTTCCTACTCACAGATTCAACCGTCCAGGGCAACAAAATATTTGGGGACGCAATCAAAGAAGCAGACCTTGATTGTGAATTTAATATAAATATATCCATTTTACTACGCCATTTATACTGATGGACTTGAGCACCTCGAGCCATGAGGAGAGACCGGTAAGAAATACTATTATTGTTATTACTATTATTGTTATTGTGGTCATCATCTACAGATCGGAGTATCTGCGATGGACCTGGAACCAAACTCCAGCAGATACCGACAACTTCAAAATATTGTCGAAGGCTTTCATGGCTGGAATCACTAGGTTCTTGTGGGTTTTTTTCGGGCTATATGGCCATGTTCTAGAGGCATTTCTCCTGACGTCAGGAGAAATGCCTCTAGGACATGGCCATATAGCCTGAAAAAACCCACAAGAACCTAACTTCAAAATACTTTCCCCAAGGATTTTGGATCAGAGATATGCAACCTGACCCTGAGAAGGAGATTCAGGCAATGTCTTCCATTGTTGTTGTTCATTCGTTCAGTCGTTTCCGACTCTTTGTGACTTCATGGACCAGCCCATGCCAGAGCTCCCTGTTGGTCATCACCACCCCCAGCTCCTCCAAGGTCAATCCAGTCATTTAAAGGATGCCATTCATAGAATCCTAGAGTTGGAAGAGACCTCCTGGGCCATCATTCAGTCCAACCCCATTCTGCCAAGAAGCAGGAATATTGCATTCAAATCACCCCTGACAGATGGCCATCCAGCTTCTGTTTAAAAGCTTCCAAAGAAGGAGCCTCCACCACACTCCAGGGCAGAGAGTTCCACTGCTGAACGGCTCTCATAGTCAGGAAGTTTTTTCTCATATTCAGATGGAATCTCCTCTCTTGTCGTTTGAAGCCATTGTTCCGTGTCCTAGTCTCTAAGGAAGCAGAAAACAAGCTTGCTCCCTCCTCCTCCCTGTGGCTTCCTCTCACATATTTATACATGACCCTCATCCTGTCTCCTCTCAGCCTTCTCTTCTTCAGGCTAAACATGCCCAGCTCCTTAAGCCGCTCCTCATAGGGCTTGTTCTCCAGACCCTTGATCATTTGAGTCGCCCTCCTCTGGACACATTCCAGCTTAGAGTCAGTATCTCTCTTGAATTGTGGTGCCCTGAATTGGACACAGTATTCCAGGTGTGGTCTAACCAAAGCAGAATAGAGCATGGGGAGCATGACTTCCCTAGATCTAGACACTATGCTCCTATTGATGCAGGCCAAAATCCCATTGGCTTTTTTCATCCATCTTGCCCTTGGTTGGCCCCTCTTCCTTTTTTCTTTCCATTTCCCCCAGCATAATTGTCTTCTCTAAGCTTTCCTTTCTTCTCATGTCTTCCATGCCTGCTACTAAAAACACAGACAAAATATGCAGCTTTTGTTTATGAGTTTTTTTTTATTATTGTACTGTTGTTGTTGTGTTTTACTGATTTATTGGGCTGAGCCTCTTGTAAGCCGTACTAAGTCCTGCAGGAGATGGTAGTGGGGTATAAATAAAGGTTTATATTATTATTATTATTATTATTATTATTATTATTATTATTATTATTATTATCGGACTAATCCCCCACAAACTTTAGCTGTTTTTTGCACTTTTACCTATTTGATTTTGTAAAAATGGAAAAAAATACCTTAAAATGCATCTGAGTGGCTGTTGAATGTTTACAAGGGAACCATGGCTGATTTGATGAGCACTGGGTGCTACGTGTGGAGTCCGCAACTCCAATGGAATTGAATATAACCTTTGTTGTTGTTGTTCTTGCTGCTGCTGCTGTTGTTTATTCGTTCAGTTGCTTCCAATTTTTCGTGACCTCATGGATCATCACACACCAGAGCTCCCTGTCGGCCGTCACCACCCCCAGCTCCTTCAAGGTCAAGCCAGTCACGTCAACGATACCATCCATTCACCTTGTCCTTGGTTGGCCCCTCTTCCTTTTCCCTTCCACTTCCCCCAGCATCATTCTCTTCTCTAAGCTTTCCTGTCTTCTGGCCAAAATACTCCATCTTTGCCTCTAAACTCCTTCCCTTAAGTGAGCAGTCAGGCTTTATTTCCTGGAGGATGGACTGGTTGGATCTTCTCGCAGTCCAAGGCACTCTCAGCACTTTCCTCCAACACCACAGCTCAAAAGCATCGATCTTCCTTTGCTCAGCCTTCCCTAAGGTCCAGCTCTCACATCAGTAGGTGACTACGGGGGATACCATTGCTTTAACTATGCAGATCTTGGTCGCCAGTGTGATGTCTCTACTCTTCACTATCTATCTATCTATCTATCTATCTATCTATCTATCTAAATAAAAATGTAATGTTCGTTGTGGGATTAGCAGAACTCAAAAACCACTGGACGAATTGTCACCAAATTTGGACACAAGACACCTAACAACCCAATGTATGTCCTTCACTCAAAAAAATTGATTTCGTCATTTGGGAGTTGTAGTTGCTGGGATTTATAGTTCACCTACAATCAAAGAGCATTCTGAACCCCACCAATGATGGAATTGAACCAAACTCGGCACACAGTTCTCCCATGACCAACAGAAAATACTGGAAGGGTTTGGTGGGCAGTGTCCTTTGGTTTTGGAGTTGTAGTTCACCTACATCCAGAGATCACTGTGGACTCAAACAATGATGGATCTGGACCAAACTCTACACGAATACCCAATATGCCCAAATGTGAACACTGGTGGAGTTTGGGGGAAATAGAATCTTGACATTTGGGAGTTGTAGTTGCTGGGATTTATAGTTCACCTACAATCAAAGAGCATTCTGAACCCCAACAATGATGGAATTGAACCAAACTTGGCACACAGTTCTCCCATGACCAACAGAAAATACTGGAAGGGTTTGGTGGGCAGTGTCCTTTGGTTTTGGAGTTGTAGTTCACCTACATCCAGAGATCACTGTGGACTCAAACAATGATGGATCTGGACCAAACTCTACACGAATACTCAATATGCCCAAATGTGAACACTGGTGGAGTTTGGGGGAAATAGAATCTTGACATTTGGGAGTTGTAGTTGCTGGGATTTATAGTTCACCTACAATCAAAGAGCATTCTGAACCCCACCAACAATAGATTTGGGCCAAACCTCCCACACAGAACCCCCTTGTGGGCCACAGTAACACGTGGCAGGGGACGGCTAGTGTGTGTGTGTGTGTGTGTGTGTATATATATATATATATATATAGCCTTTAAGGCACCATAAAACACCTTGTCATGTTTATGCCCTCAGGGAGTGATGATGACTGGAATAATCCATGCTTCTGGTAAAGGACATTGAACTTTCTGTATCCACTGGGCTTTGGTTCCAGGATCACTTGTGTATACAAAAATCTGTGCATGATGAAAACCCACTTTATACAATGGGAAACTATAATAGTGTTGGGTTGTCATAGATTTTTTGGGCCATATGGCTATGTTCTAGAAGCATTATCTCCTGACGTTTCTCCTGCATCTATGGCAAGCATCCTCAGATATATAAACCCAATTTTCTTAGCTCCAACAGACCTCACAACCTCTGAGGATGCTTGCTATAGATGGAGGTGAAACATCAGGAGAGAATGCTTCTAAAACATGACCATATAGCCCAAAAAACCTACAACAACCCTTTAAATGTTTTTTTTTTTTGGGGTGCCTTTTTTGGCATATCTATTATGTTGTTTGTTATCACTCATTTAGAGATTTATTGTGAACCACACACTCGTATAAAGAAGTGATAGAAATCCTGAAGAAGGGGAAGTCCCCCGAAACAAGGCATCTCAACCCGGGGACCCTTGTCATATATCATTTTGTCATATATAATAGTGTTGTGTTGTCAAAGGCTTTCATTCCTGGAATCACTGGGTTGTTGTGATTTTTGCAGGCTGTGCAACACTCAGAAAACAGGAATTTCAGACAGAAAACAATTGGGGCCAGCTAATACCTCCTAACAGAGGATTCCCCAGGCAGGAATCAGCCAGGCCTTGAAGTGGCAAGGCCATTAAATGCTAATCAAGGTGGCAAATTGCAGCATTCACACTTGCCTCCAACAGACAAGAGTTTTTAATCCCACCCTGGACATTCCAGAGATATATAAGCCTCACTTGCCTTACAACCTCTGAGGTTGCCTGCCGTAGATTTGGGCGAAATGTCAGGAGAGCATGCTTCTGGGACATGGGCAGACAGCCTGGAAAACTCTTGGCAACCCTATAATAGTGTTCCTTATAAAAATGACAAAACCGATGTTTGCTATTCTGGATTTATATATATATATATATATATATATATATATATATATATATATAATTTCAAGCCATGAATGTAGAATCCGTGGGTATGGAAGGCTGACATTATATGTGTGCCCACCTTCCCACATCCACCGCATAGGGAAGTGCAGTAGAACCCGAGGCACTTTTTGCCACGTGTGAAGAGTCAGAAGAACCAGGTTTGTGAATGAAGAGACCTTCCCAGAGAGGTGTGTCTGTGGGAGGCCTGCACAACAGGAAACAGGAGAAGAACCCATGCCTGCTGACTCCCAGTTGGACACACCTAGTTATGCAAACATCAGGTTACCTTTCGGGCCTCCTTGAGGGAAAGACGGCACCATCTCACCTTTCTTTGTCTCGGTTGAGGAGAAGGGCGAGCTCTTGATTTAAGGAAGAGTTGCCCACCTCCTCCCAGAGGGTGAGTCCAGCTTCTTTTTTACCTGGGGCACAGGTGCAAACTTGGGCCCTCCCCTCCAGGTGTTTTGGACTTCAACTCCCACAATTCCCAGATTCTTGGAGGAAGAATGGAGAAATGTGTGTATAAGAGGGAAAGCGAGACCGATAAATAGAGGATTCACCACCTTTAATTTTCTGAAAATCAGGTTAATAGATCATAATATCAATTAGGAGCTATGCTAATAATATAATATATTGTATGCACATATAGTATTGATAATAATATTATAGTGTAATACAATATAATAATAATATAATATAAGAATTATATGTTTCGTATTACATGTAATATTACTAATATTATTACTGTAGAGTGTTATAGTACAATATAGTAATATATAATACTGATATTGTGCTGTGCTAATATATTGTATACACATATAATATTGATAATAATATTATAGGGTAATACAATATAATAATAATACAATATAAGAATTATATGTTTTGTATTACATGTAATATTACTAATAATATTACAGTATAGTATTTTAGTACAATATAGTAATATATAATATTAATATTGTGCTGTGCTAATATATTGTATACACATATAATATTGATAATAATATTATAGTGTAATACAATATAATAATAATGCAACATAAGAATTATATATTTTATATTACATGTAATATTACTAATAATATTACTAATAATATTACATTCCATAAATAAGGGGCCACGATCGAGAAGGCTCTGTACCTAGTAGATGACAAATGATAGGTGCTAATAATATATTGTATACACACATAATATTGATAATAATATTGTAGTGTAATACAATATAATAATAATACAATATAACAATTATATATTTTGTATTACATGTAATATTACTAATAATATTACAGTATAGTATTTTAGTACAATATAGTAATATATAATATTAATATTGTGCTGTGCTAATATATTGTATACACATATAATATTGATAATAATATTATAGTGTAATACAATATAATAATAATATAATATAAGAATTATATATTTTGTATTACATGTAATATTACTAATAATATTACAGTATAGTGTTGTAGTGCATTGATAATATTATAATGTAATACAATATAATACTAATAATAATACAATATAAGAATTATATGTTTTGTATTACATGTAATATTACAGTATAGTGTTATAGTACCATATAGTAATATACTGTATAATACTCATATTGTGCTGTGCTAATAATATATTGTATACACATATAATATTGATAATAATATTATAGTGTAATACAATATAATAATAATACAATATAAGAATTATATATTTTGTATTACATATAATACTACTAATAATATTACAGTATAGTCTTATAGCACAATATAGTAATATCTAATAGTAATATTGTGCTGTGCTAATAATATATTGTATACACATATAATATTGATAATAATACTGTAGTGTAATACAATATAATAATAATACAATATAAGAATTATATATTTTGTATTACATGTAATATTACTAATAATATTACAGTATAGTGTTATAGTACAATATAGTAATATCTAATACTAATACTGTGCTGTGCTAATAATATATTGTATACACATATAATATTGATAATAATATTATAATGTAATACAATATAATAATAATGCAACATAAGAATTATATGTTTTTTATATTTTATATTACATTCCATAAATAAGGGGCCACGATCGAGAAGGCTCTGTACCTAGTAGATGACAAATGATAGGTGCTAATAATATATTGTATACACACATAATATTGATAATAATATTATAGTGTAATACAATATAAAACTAATAATAATGCAATATAAGAATTATATGTTTTATATTACATGTAATACTACTAATAATATTACAGTATAAGGTTATAGTACAATATAGTAATATATAATGCTAATATTGTGCTGTACTAATAATATATTGTATACACACATAATATTGATAATAATATTATAGTGTAATACAATGCAATAATAATAATAATAATAATACAATATAAGAATTATATATCTTGTATTACATGTAATATTACTAATATAGTGGTATAGTACAGTGGTATAGTACAATATAGTGGTATAGTATAGTGGTATAGTACAATATGGGAATGTATGGTACTGATGTTGTGCTATGCTAATAATATAATATATTGTATTTACTTATAACTTGTAAACCCTTTGGGGTGAGAAGGGCGGCATAGAAATGTCGTAAATAAATAAATACCTTTCTGTCCCTCTTCCTTTCTTCCCTCATCCTTCCTTTTCATCTGATTTGTGTGTGTGTGTGTGTGTGTATTCAGACCTGGATTAATAGTCAGTGTTCTTTTCCCCTTTAGCTGCCAAGGCGGAGCTGGAGAGCACATGGCCCTCCCCCAGCAGCTGCTCCTTGACCGCAACTCCCATCATCCCTAGCCAGGTGTGGCAACACCTGGGGAGCCCTGCGTCCCTCTCCCTGCTCCCTGTGCCAAGAGAAGGTGTTCATTCCCAGCACTGAAGGCTGGGCAGGATGTTCCAGGTGCCGGTGCCCTTGGACCGGGACCGGGACCGGGCCCTCTTCCGGCTCCGCTTCACCGCATTGGCGGTGGGCACCGTCTGCTGCCCACTCTTCGGCTTCCTCTTCTGCGTGATCTGGTCCCTCTTCTTCCACTTCCAGGAAGCCACCTCCACCCACTGCAAGGTAAGCGCTGTTGCACTCCAGGACAGGAAAAGCCCTCTGACTGTAAACACCACACCGTTTTATTGGAAAACAATCCTTTTATTGAAGATAATTAAAAAGCAGCAAGTGAAAAGCAGTTTAAAGGAATAGGTAAATCCAATTAGGTAAGAAGGTAAGCAGGAGCAAAAATAGTCCAGGGTAAAGTTCAGCAAAGTCCATAAAAACAAAGTCCATATTTCTCTAATATAATTCAGGAAAAACAGGAAACATTCATCCAAGGCATGAGTAGACATTCATATATTCCAAAAGTCCAAACCATGAACAAGAAATACTTAGACAAGAATATTCCAAGCAAAGCTTCCATGAAACAAGAATGAGAACTACACCTGATTCCAACAATGCTTCATCTGACTATATTTTCCAAACTTGGAACTTTTATCCCCTCATTAAGCTATTCCACACACTCAGGAATTGGTTTCGTTTTACTTGAGATCCCCTTATCTTTTTCTGTCGAAGCCTGGCAGAACGCCGAAGGCACTGTTCGGCCTGTCTGTTTTGACTAATTTCCTCTCGCCTATCTATTTGCTCATTGAGTCTCACAGCTGGCCCAGTTGCCCAGTTGTTTTCAAGCCCCAAATCCTGGGAACCCTCTGGTAGCAATTCAGGGAGTACACCATCATCCCCACACCCTTCAGGTACAATCTCATGGGAAACTACACTTTGCAGAGGGGTCTCCTGGTCCTTCTCTGCATCAGTATCATTGACCAAACCATTGCCATCTTGAAGTTCATTGGCATGACTTCCCACATCCAAAGCACCCTGATCCTGAAACACAATCACAGGCTGAGCTCCAACACGTGCTGCCATTTATTGCATAGGATCATAGCATTAAAATATTATGCAGTGGCCAAATTTTGTGGGCAAGCTGGTAGGGTGTTAGGAGTTGTGGGAGTTGCAGTCCAAAACACCTAGAAGGCCCAAGTTTGCCCATACCGGATCTATATGAATCTAAGAACTGCACTCTGAACTCCACCAATGATAGAATTGGGCCAAACTTAACACACAGAACTCCTGTGACAACAGAATATGCTGGAAGGGTTTGGTGGGCACTGACTTTGAGTTTGGGAGTTGTAGTTCACCTACATCCAGAGAGCACTGTGGACTCAAACAATGATGGATCTGGACCAAACTTGGTACTCAATATGCCCAAATGTGAACACTGGTGGAGTTTTGGGGAAATAGACCTTGACATTTGGAAGTGGTAGTTGCTGGGATTTATAGTTCACCTACAATCAAAGAGCACTCTCGACACCACCAACAATAGAATTGAACCAGCCTTGGCAAACAGAACTCCCATGACAAACAGAAAATACTGGAAGGGTTTGGTGGGCGTTGACCTTGTGTTTTGGAGTTGTAGTTCACCTACATCCTAAGAGCACTGTGGACTCAAACAGTGATGGATCTGGACCAAACTTGGCACAAATATTCAATATGCCCAAATGTGAACACTGGTGGAGTTTGGGGGAAATAGACTTGACATTTGGGAGTTGTAGTTGTTGGAATTTATAGTTCACCTACAATCAAAGAGCATTCTCGACACCACCAACAATAGAATTGAACCAGCCTTGGCAAACAGAACTCCCATGACAAACAGAAAATACTGGAAGGGTTTGGTGGGCATTGACCTTGTGTTTTGGAGTTGTAGTTCACCTGCATCCAGAGAGCATTGTGGACTCAAACAATGATGGATCTGGACCAAGCTTGGCACGAATATTCAATATGCCCAAATGTGAACACTGGTGGAGTTTGGGTGAAATAGACCTTGACATTTGGGAGTTGTAGCTGCTGGGATTTATAGTTCACCTATAATCAAATAGCATTCTCGACACCACTAACCATAGAACTGAACCAGCCTTGGCACACAGAACTCCCATGAAATAGTCTTTGACATTTGGGAGTGGTAGTTGCTGGGATTTATAGTTCACCTACAATGAAAGAGCATCCTGAACTCCACCAATGATGGAATTGAACCAAACTTGGCACACAGAACTCCCATGAGTATGCAATTGTGTCCCTTCCTAACCTGCAGGTCCCCAACTACCTGCCCTCCATCAGCGCAGCGATTGGCGGCGACACCCCCGAGCGCTACGTCTGGCGCTTCTGCATCGGCCTCCACTCGGGGCCCCGCTTCCTGGTGGCCGTGGTCTACTGGAACTACTATGGGAGCTGCCACTGCACCCACCGCTGGTACCACTGCCTCTGCAACGCGGCCTTCACCCTCAACCTGATGGAGAACGTGGCCCTCCTCCTCCTCACCTACGTCTCCTCCTCTGAGAACTACTGTAAGTCATAGGGTCACAGAGTTGGAAAGAGGGCTGGAGGTTATGCTCGATTATGGCCACAGGAGGTGCTGTCTGTTGTGACTCAGCTGGAATCACAGAGTGATTGTGTCAATGAGTCTGATGAGGATGATGGGATTCAGATTCACAGTCAGGTGCAAAGCGATGTGATAGACGAGGAAGAACAGGGTACAGAAGTTCAGTTGTTTCCCACAGCAAGGGATGTTGTTTCCCACAGCATGCTGTTTAATATCTACATGAAGCCGCTGGGTGAGATCATCCGGAGTTTCGGGGTACGGTGTCATCTGTACGCGGATGATGTCCAACTCTGTCACTCCTTTCCACCTGCTACTAAGGAGGCTGTCCAGGTCCTGAACCAGTGCTTGGCCTCTGTGACAGGCTGGATGAGGGCGAACAAATTGAAATTGAATCCAGACAAGACAGAGGTCCTCCTGGTCAGTCACAAGGCCGAACAGGGTATAGGGTTACAGCCTGTGTTGGATGGGGTCGCACTCCCCCTGAAGACGCAGGTTCGCAGCTTGGGTGTGACCCTGGATTCATCGCTGAGCCTGGAGCCCCAGGTCTCGGTGGTGACCAGGGGAGCATTTGCACAGCTTAGGCTCGTGCGCCAGCTGCGCCCGTACCTTGGGAAGCCTGACTTGGCCACGGTAGTCCACGCTCTGGTTACATCCCGTTTAGACTACTGCAACGCTCTCTACGTGGGGTTGCCCTTGAAGACGGCTCGGAAGCTCCAACTGGTCCAATGTGCGGCAGCCATGATACTAACAGGAGCGGGGCGCAGGGAGCACACAACCCCCCTGCTGTACCAGCTCCACTGGCTGCCGATCTGCTACCGAGCTCAATTCAAGGTGGTGGCACTGGCCTATAAAGCCCTAAACGGTTCCGGCCCAAGATACCTAACTGACCGCCTCTCGGCCTATGAGCCCACGAGGACTTTGAGATCTTCCGGGGAGGCCCTGCTCTCAATCCCGCCTGCGTCACAGGCACGGCTGGCGGGGACGAGAGATAGGACCTTCTCGGTGGTGGCCCCTCGGCTGTGGAACACCCTTCCCGTAGACATCAGGCTAGCCCCCTCCCTGTTGATATTCCGCAGGAAGCTAAAGACCTGGCTGTTTCAGAAGGCATTTGAATAGAAGTGCAATGACTGGTAACTTGACCTTAGGAATGGAACAACGGAAATGGTATCGGATTGTGAACTTGACGATGAGACGACTCGGAATGGCTTTGTAATAATGTTGATGTTTTTGATGAGATGTTTTGATAATGATGTACTGCGGATTATTTTTCACTATGTTTGTATTTTGCACCTGTTTTACTATGTTGTACACCGCAATGAGTCGCCATTAGGCTGAAAATTGCGGTATATAAGCGAAGTAAATAAATAAATAAATGACGCTGTTGATAGTGAAACTACTGAGAGCCAGGTGCATTTTGATTCAGGAAGGGAGGACCGTTGTTCTCAGCCAGATAATGAGCAAGGAAGCACTAACGAACAGATTGACCTTGATGAGGCCGGAGCTTTAGATCGGGCTGATCGCTTGGAATTTAAGGTTCGAAGGAGTGTGAGAATCGCTAGCAAGAGAGAGGGGGAGGCCAAGGGCCAGAGGAACGCCGCCATGTTTTCCAAAGGGTCTTAAACAGGCTGTTTGAAAATACCCCAGTGTCAGAGCAACTTCTCGCTTCAGCCAAGAGACTTAGGATTTATCTGGCAGTTTTCATGTTCATGGTTTCAGGACTTTGTCATGTTCTCGTGGGACTTTGCCTTGCTTATATCTTCGTGGATCCTGTTTTCCAGCGTTACCTTATATTGATCTTTGGAACTATACTTTTGCCTTCTTGAACTTTTTGTCTTTTACTTTAATAAACCATAAAGACGCTTGTGTGACGTTTGGTGTCTGAAGCAAGGTGATTCTACTCTGAGGTGCGACACTGTCGCTCCATCCTCTATGATCACAGACTGTCCTCCTGTTCTTTGATCTCTGGCTTTTTAAGGTGTTCTAAAGTACCTCCCTGCTTAAGCAGTGCCTAATTTCTCTACTCAAGGCTCACAGCTGTTTTCAAACTGCTTAGGTGGACAGTAAGCTAGGTTGAAGGTCTGGTGCTCACGCAGACCCAGGCTCAAACTACCAACCTTTCAGTTGGGAACTTGGGAAAGATCTATTGCTGTTGGTGATTAATCAGCTGTGCTAAATCCCGGCCTTGCTTTGCCTTGTTTGGGATGCTGGTTGAAGAGAGTGTCCCCATATACTGTATCCACAGAGACAACCATCCACATTCTGACCATATTTCAAAACTTCCCAAAAGCTGTAGAATCCTAGAGTTGGGAGAGGGTGGAAGGGCTTTTCCTCCTTGCTTCCTCACTCTCCCTTTGGGTTTCCTCTCCTCTCGTTGCCGCAGTCATCCACCAGAGCGCCTTCATCCTCTTCATCGCCTCGGCCCTCAGCCACATGTTCCTGACCTGCGTGTTGTGGCGGATGACCAAGAAGCACACCATCAGTCCAGAGGTAGGGAGCCTTCTTTCTCCTTCTCGCCTTTCAATCATTGGTACATCCACAAATTTGCGCATTTCTTTGTTTGAAGCTTCTGTCTACAGCATGTCAACTCAACAGGGTCCCCCAGATGACATATGATAGAGCAACACGCTAATGTTATTTAATATGCAAGTGAAAATATTAAACAATTGGAAATCAGACCAAAACAGTCAAATCAGCCAGAGCAGCCAGTGGTGGTTTTAATAGATAAATGGAGGATAGTAGCCAGTAGGCTGTTAGGAATTGTGGGAGTTGAATTCCCAAAACATCTGGAGGGAGGGCCCAAGTTTGCCCATACCTGATGTAGACATTGTGCTTCTAGATCTCCTCGATTCCCACTGGCTTTCTTCACAGTCCAACTTTCTTGACGGTACATAGAAACCAGAAATACTGTGGCCTGGACTAGTCTAAGGTCAGACTTTAATTACTGTATATTTTCAATTAAAAGACAGTTTCCCCCCTAAGTAAATATATCTTAAAATGGGGCCCAGCCATTGATTTTTAAATGTGTCGTGTTATTGTTATTGTTTTTGCTTATTTTGCTATGAGTTTTGTATTGTTTTTGTATTATTGCTGTTATTGTTGTGTTGTGGGCTCAGCCTCATGTAAGCCGCACCGAGTCCCTCAGGAGATGGTAGCGGGGTACAAATAAAGTATTATTATTATTATATCTTAGAAACACAGATGTGTCCCCTCTCTCCCTCTCTCTCTCTCTCTCTCTCTCTCTCTCTCTCTATATATATATATATATACACATACACATAAATATATATACATTGGTGAGGGTGCTGAAAATGGTGTGCATCTTGCAATCAATGGCAATCAATGGCATCTTGCAATGGAAGACATATGGTAGGTCTTTTTTGGTGAGGGTACTGAAAATAAGGTGTGTTTTGCAATCAATGACATCTTCCAACAAATTGAAATTGAATCCAGACAAGACAGAGGTCCTCCTGGTCAGTCGCAAGGCCGAACAGGGCATAGGGTTACAGCCTGTGTTGGATGGGGCCGCACTCTCCCTGAAGATGCAGGTTCGCAGCTTGGGTGTGACCCTGGACTCATCGCTGAGCCTGGAACCCCAGGTTTCGGCGGTGACCAGGGGAGCATTTGCACAGCTAAAGCTTGTGCGCCAGCTGCGCTCGTACCTTGGGAAGTCTGACTTGGCCAGGTAGTCCACGCTCTGGTTACATCCCGTTTAGACTACTGCAACGCTCTCTACGTGGGGTTGCCTTTGAAGACCGCTCGGAAGCTCCAACTAGTCCAACGCTCGGCAGCCATGATTTTAACAGGAGCGGAGCGCAGGGAGCATACAACCCCCCTGTTGCGCCAACTCCACTGGCTACCGATCTGCTACCGGGCTGAATTCAAAATGCTGGCGTTGGCCTTTAAAGCCCTAAACGGTTCCGGCCCAAGCTACCTATCTGACCGCATCTCTGCCTATGAACCCACCAGGACTTTGAGATCTTCCGGGGAGACCCTGCTCTCGATCCCGCCTGCTTCTCAAGCTCGGCTGGCGGGGACAAGATAGGGCCTTCTCGGTGGTGGCTCCTCGGCTGTGGAACGCCCTTCCTACGGACATTAGACTAGCACCATCTCTAATGGTATTCCGCAAAAAGGTGAAGACCTGGATGTTTGTGCAGGCGTTTGAGTAATTTAGTGCAATCTGGTAATGGAACATAGGAATGGAACAATGGACGACGAACCTGGACTACGCTTGGATGATGAGAAGATTGGGTACGGTTGTTTTTTGTAATAATTGTGCATTGTAATGGCTTATTGGTAATTTATGGATAATGTGTTAAGTCAATTGTTATATGTTGCATGGAACCACTGCTGTTTCTACTGTTTGTGAACCGCTGTGAGTCGCCTTCGGGCTTGAGATACAGCGGTATAGAAGCAAAGTAAATAAATAAATAAATAAATAAATAAGAAATCCTGTGTGCCTGTTTCCACACAGAGACCAGCCTCCAGGGGGCAGCATTTCCCTGTTTGTCCTGCCCTTGTGCTCCTTGCCCATTCTCTGACAATTTCTTGAAGTTCAAAAACTCCTAAATTATGGGGTTTGGTCTTCTTTCTAAAGAGTGCCAGGGACCTGGGTGGGAGGCACCCAATGGAACGGACTTAAAAACCCAAAAAACACCATATATACATATACACATGTACACACACACACATTCATACACACACACGTATATAGATCCACAAGCACACACAAATATACACACATAGATGCATATACACATACACACATGTACACATACTTACACATGCATATAGACAAGCACACACATGTACACAATATTCATATACACACATAAACACACGAATACACAAATATATACACACACATATATACTCACATAGATACATACACACATGTTCGCATCTCTGTATACAAACCCACACAATCCCTTCGATCATCCGGAGAGGCCCTGCTCTTGATCCCACCAGCATCGCAGGCGCGATTGGTGGGGACGAGAGAGAGGGCCTTTTCAGTGGTGGCCCCATTGACTTTGGAACTCACTCCCTAAAGACATCAGACAGGCTCCAACTCTGGCAGTCTTTAGGAGGAGCTTGAAGACGTGGCTGTTCCAGTGTGTCTTCCCGGAATAATGATCCCATAGCACTTTGTCCTCCAAAGCACTTTACATTTCTTTAAGTCTGCTTGTATGCCCTTCCACAAACACCACTATCACCTTCTCATCCATGTCCCAGCATTATTTCCAATTTTAACTCTACATTTGGCCTTCCCACTTTTTAATTATGTGTTGTTTTATTAATAATGTTGTGCATTTTATTGTCTATATTTTTAATTGCTTGTATTGTTGTTATTATTGCTTGTATTGTTGTATTATTGCCTCATGTAAGCCGCACTGAGTCCCTTGGGGAGATGGTAGCGGGGTACAAATAAAGTGTTATTATTATTATTATGTTATTATTATGTACACATATATACATACTTACACACATATATACACACAAATATGCATATAGACAAGCACACACATGTACACAATATTCATACACACATAAACACACAAATACACAAATACATATACAAATAAAGTGTTATTATTATTATGTTATTATTATGTACACATATATACATACTTACTTACATGTATACACACAAATATGCATATAGACAAGCACACACATGTACACAATATTCATACACACATAAACACACAAATACACAAATACATATACAAATAAAGTGTTATTATTATTATGTTATTATTATGTACACATATATACATACTTACACACATATATACACACAAATATGCATATAGACAAGCACACACATGTACACAATATTCATACACACATAAACACACAAATACATATACAAATAAAGTGTTATTATTATTATGTTATTATTATGTACACATATATACATACTTACACACATATATACACACAAATATGCATATAGACAAGCACACACATGTACACAATATTCATACACACATAAACACACAAATACATATACAAATAAAGTGTTATTATTATTATGTTATTATTATGTACACATATATACATACTTACACACATATATACACACAAATATGCATATAGACAAGCACACACATGTACACAATATTCATACACACATAAACACACAAATACACAAATACATATACAAATAAAGTGTTATTATTATTATGTTATTATTATGTGCACATATATACATACTTACACACATATATACACACAAATATGCATATAGACAAGCACACACATGTACACAATATTCATACACACATAAACACACAAATACACAAATACATATACAAATAAAGTGTTATTATTATTATGTTATTATTATGTGCACATATATACATACTTACACACATATATACACACAAATATGCATATAGACAAGCACACACATGTACACAATATTCATACACACATAAACACACAAATACACAAATACATATACAAATAAAGTGTTATTATTATTATGTTATTATTATGTGCACATATATACATACTTACACACATATATACACACAAATATGCATATAGACAAGCACACACATGTACACAATATTCATACACACATAAACACACAAATACACAATAATACACATGAATACACAAATATATACTCACACATATATATACACCCACATATATATATGCAGACACACATATATACAAATATATACACACACATAAACACATATCTACACGCACAAAACACATACACAAAGACTGGGCCACAGCAATGCATGGCAGGGGACAGCTAGTAATAATATAAAATATAATATCAAAATACCTCCAATATCCTAGGCCAGGGATCCTCAAACTTTGAAACAGAGGGCCAGGTCATACTCCTTCAAACTGTTGGAGGGCTGGATTATAATTTGAAAGAAAAAAAAAACATGAATTCTTATGCACACTGCACATATCTTATTTGTAGTGCAAAAAAAACACTAAAAAAACTAATAGAATAATTAAAATGAGGAACAATGTTAACAAATATAAACTTATTAGTGTTTCAATGGGAAGTATGGGCCTGCTTTTGGCTGTTGAGATAGGATTGTTGTTGTTGTGTGCTTTCAAGTTGCTTCAGATTTAGGTTGATGCTGAGCAAGGGCCGGGTAAATGACCTTGGAGGGCCGTATCCAGGCCCTGGGCCTTAGTTTGAGGACCCCTGTCCTAGGCCCTTGGGAAGAGCTGCATATTCAGAGACAAATCCCAGACACTTAGACTAATAAGCATGAGTGCTGTGTTGTTATGTACAAGTAAATCTATATTATTATTATTATTAATAATAATAATAATAATAATAAACCCGTCAAGGTGGTCCCAGTGGTGATCGGCATACTGGATGCAGTGCCTAAAGACTTTGGCCTGCACTTAAACACAATCAGCGCTGACAAGATTACCACCTGCCAGCTGCAAAAGGCCACCTTACTGGGATCTGCACGCATTATTTGCCGATACATCACACAGTCCTA